GTGGTCATGCTGGTGTCACAACAAAGGATGTACTCATGATTTACAGTCTAGAATGAATGATTGAATACTTCATTTCTTTTATCATTCATCATTTTATCATTCTTATTATAGAACAAGAATAAAATTACCAAGCTGCTTAGAAAAAAATACCTATAGATTGGCCGAATAATTTTGCACACAATATTTTAGAAGTTTTTAGATACACTGAGTTTTTAAACGATGTTAATTGGCTGTAATCGTCGTTCAAAAAGGAAAAATTTTCAAAATTGTAAAACTTTAAATGTGTTTTTCTACGAAACTATAAGACTTAGATAAAAAAAACTAAAAATCATTAAAATTTGCTTTAAATTATCTTTACATGGCGCAAACCGGAAGTCGCTCCGGGTTATGTTTTAGTTTTTTTTCATAAAAAAGTCATATCTCAAAAACTATGAGTCCTGGGTCAAAACGGTTTGAACAAACGTATTCTCAGGTTATTTTTACATACAGTACTAGTTTTTCATATAAATACAAAAATGATTTTTTGGCCAGAATCGGATATAGATAGTACTCATGCTTCTAGCCTTAAACTTAAATTTATTACTCAATATTTCAAAAACTATACATCGTAGAGTATTTTAACTTGTTGCATCGTGTTCAGCGGGTAATTTTACGTCGAGAAAACCATATTTTAAGCGTTTTTACGACTTAAGATATATTGACTATTTTTACGAAATATTTATCGAGAAAATTTCTGATAAAGTCAAAAATATCGAGAATTTAAATCCGACTATAACTTCAAAACTACTACGAATTTTGCAGTTTAATTGACGCAAATCGATTCCCCGGAACATTTTACATATGTCTATGTCAAAATAATTGAGGTTTGCTGCAATTTACAACATAAAAAAAGGAAAAATTTGTTAACAGAAAGTATGAATCCCAAACAATTAAATCTGAACAAAACAACAGTTTTCAAATTGACCTTTGCCAATTGGTCCAATATTTGACTTAAGAAATAAATAACAATTTTAATGTAATTAATATTCAATGTGTTAAGAAACTGTGTTAAATCATTAAGACACTAAATCATATAACACAGTTTCCCAAGGTATTATGTAACTAATGTCTGAAGATGTAACGATTCCGAAACGTTACGAACAAACAATAAAACTGTCCACTTTTCTTCAATTTTGCAATTATTCCACGAATAAATCAACAATTTCATGTCAAGAGTGAGAATTTTTGCTTTCTATTATTAAAAATTATTTCGGAATTATTAGATTCACTAATGATCTTGGAGATTTTTTTGTTGACTGTTTAGTTCTAAGTGAAATAGCGTCATCTAGAGATGCGTCATGCTATCACAATTATTTTACGTGTACTTGTCATTGACATCTAATAAGAAAGATATATATATCTGATTTTTTTTCAAGATTTGTAAAAAGAAATGAAAAATTTTGTTAGGATTCATCATTGTTTTTCTGTGTTGCTAACCATTGTCTTTAATTTACAATTAATTTAATTAATTTACAAATTTCTTTAACAGTAATTAACAAATACTCAAAAATTAAGTTATGAATAAGTACACCAAAAGAAGCATTTAACTTTTTTCTTACAAATGCCCAAATGCAACTTCGTTCTACATAATTACAAATAACAAAGTTATCGATTTTGGAAAAGACAAACTCATAAATTTCCAAAAAATCAAAACATTTCAAATCCGCCAAACCATATTAAATTTTTATTTAAAATAATAAAGTTGATACTCGGTATAACAGGAAGTAATGCCATAGCCACCATAGCATGCAGCAAACGATGTAATTGTAGATAAACTTTAACACTTACAGTTTCCATTACTGTAATAGTTATTTACATACTAAGTGCGGAAAGACAATTTTCCCGCGTGAATGTTATTGCGTCAACGCGAGAAAATTATTCTCGCAAGAAGTGTGTCTATTTTTTTTTAAACGAAGCAAAAATATTAACAAAAATGTATGTTTGTGAAAAGTTAAATAATTCTAAAAAATGAATAAAACACTCAATTTTTTATTTTCGCATATCATAAATTGATAAATGGTCTATTTAAAAAAATAAAGAGTTAATGCCTACAATTTAAATTAAAAGATATTTAACTTTAAATGTTAATTCGAAATAGTTAGAAATAACTTCAGGCGATGCACTAGTTTAGCATTTATCAATTTCCTATACACATTTTTAACATTTTAAAGGACTTTATCGTGCCGATGATTTTGAAATTTGGTATAGGGGCCTAAAAGCTGATTCTAAACAACTTTTCTTAATTACTTTTATCATATAAATAACTGTCTCTTTTGAATTATTGAAATAATGACAAAAAACGGATATTAGCACTTTATTTTCATCGTTAATCAAGTAGACTTTGGAAAATGGTCAATTATTCTCCAATCTTGACATTTTAATTAAATATTTAATTATGGTTTATTATACTAACAAAGTTGTAGATGTATTTATAATTTATGGCCGAAACGACAAAATAATTCAAAGGACCAGTCGCGCCTTCAATATAAATATTCAGTTATAATACGAGTAGTCAAAAATTGTCCGATATTTTTATGAATGGTCATCGTTTTGTGAACACCATGAGTGCGCAGCACGCATACGTAAACAACAAGATCTAAGGTTGAGTTATTCGTCAATTCACAAAAACATTTATTTTTAGTTTCAGAAATTATCTATTATTATAACACGAAATTGATGGATTACAAACAAGATGTATCCAAAAAAAATACTGTCGGAAGATTTTCTTAATACTTGTGAACATTTGTATTAATTGGTAAACGATGGAAATAAAAAGTTAATATCCGCTTTTGTGAAATATAGGTAAGGACATTTCAATTAAAGTCCCCATAAAATCGATGTTCTTTTGAATGCCATTGAGAAAATAGGTGCATCTTGGTATAGTAGTAATTTGGGTTAAATCGCCTTATTTTGACCTGGAAAATCACAGTTTTTTGTTCCCATCTATTTGTTACACCCTGTATATTCAACAACAAACATTGATTTCGGCAGACAATAACAATTTTGTTAAACAGAAATCCGTTATTTTCGGTTTAGTAGACAGTAAACAGTACAAATTTTGGGAGGGTGGTTCACTGTCAAAAAATTCAATGTAAAAACCAGTGTTCATAAAATATTTAAGTCCAAAATACATATTAAACAAATTATTCATACAGTAAATAAAAAAAATACAAAATCGGAAAAAACCAAAGACACGTTTGTGTAAAATGTTTGTTGCTAAAACATGTTTAAACAAACTAAAATAAAAGCAAAATAATTTTATCCTAAAAATTTCGTCAAAAAGTGAGTAACAGGTTCGCAGAAGCGAAAAGAGGTACTTAACACGCCCAATCTCAAACGTCTCTCTTCCAGATTCAGTTTTAGGATATTAGCAAGGGCCCCTGCGCAAGAATAATTAGCAAAGGCTGGAAGCAGTGCGCACATCGTGATCAGTCAGTTTGTTGCGCAAACCTTCACGTCTTTGCCACTCCTTGCACTGCTGTGCTCCTGATGTTTTTGAACGCTTTGCGATATTCCCGTTTTGCTTGGAAACATTTTGTTTGAAAATATTTTTTGTCCAGTTTTGCGGTGCGGACATTTTTGGACATTTCTTAATTTAAACCTTTTCTTAAGATAAGTTTTCAAATAAAAATTTTCGGAAATATTTGGTTTTATGTTTAAACATTTTAAGAAAAACATAAACTTTTTGCGATCACACGGGCTCCCCAAATTTTATAAATAGCACTAACATTTAAAAGTCATTTATTTACAAAAATCGACATAATTTCGGGTCTTTTCATGATTTTTCACTTGTAAAAATTGGGACGATAAGTGATAATGTTAATATTTTTGATTTTTTAAACAATTTAATGAATAATGTCAAATTCTATCATTTTTGTCATCGTTTCACAGCTGTGTCAGTATTTGGATAGAATTAGATAATTTTTGGTTCGATTATTTACTCAAAAAGGGAAAAAATTCTAGCCTATTAAACCACTCAATCAAATTTTGTAAAGGTCACTTGGGTTGAAAACTTTTCCAACCAGAAACCAGACAAAAATTATTTTTAGAAGAATTAAATAATTATTGTGTTCATTTAAGGCTATGATAAAATTACGAATACCTAAAGACACGATGTAAAACAAAACGTCCCCGTTTTTGATAGCGCAGTTGTTCCTTTCCCGTTTAAATTTTAAGAGCAATGAAATAAAAAAATGGCTGTATTTACATAATGGTGAGCAAAACGCAAATAAAAAAATATATATAATAAGAGATGAAAGTAATGCAAAAATTTTATTGAAAACCAGACTCACTAAAATTGGTTGCAATGGTTTTTATTCATTTTTTCTTTTTAGCAAAGCCGTTATGATTTTTCAAAAATGGTACTTTTTTTTCATAAAATTGCCCATAAATAATAAACGGTCTATGATAGATCCATAAAACATGGATATTCTCAGAATTAAAAACTCTTTCAAATAAGCACATAATATACTGAGTGTTCCATAAGAAAATTTATAACTTTGTTGCGCCACCCTATATAAAAATTACCTAAAATGACGAAAATATTTTTGGACCATAGAAAAAATGAATGTCTATCGTCCAAAAGAAACCGCATTTCGTTATCTTCTTTACTGTCAAAGTAATCAAAGAAATACGGAGCTCTCGTAAAAAATTAGTCGTTCATTTTTCGCTTATTAAGAATGTAAAGCTCAACATTTCTGCATTTTGTCCAAGCAATTAGTAGACTAGTTGAATTTAAATTCATTTAAATCGATTTGAAACTGAGACGGTAAAACGCTCTAAGCGCCCTCATTTTTACTCCGCTGTACTATTTTTTTGGGTCCAAAAAATCGAGCAATTTTGTATCTCGTTTCCTGTCCTTGTAGTCCTCTGTAGATAAATACAAATGGGCCTGGATATTTAACAACAAAAATCATAAGTTCAGAAACAATGAGAAAATTCAAGTTTTAAGTTTTACAAACCTCTCATGTAGATGTATGCCGTTCCTCGCATATTTCTCCTAGTTAGCACAATCAGATTGAAGATATTTCCTACTATACCCAAAAAGCAAATAAAAGGTAGAGCTACTCCGTAAGAGTAAAGTCTGAGAACTTCAATCCGGGGGTCTTCCGATAGTGGGATTGTTCCCAACATCGGTGATGGGATCGAAGAAATATTGTTCCACATACAAGGAGAACAATCTGTCGTGCTACCATTGAAGCACAAGGTTACAGGACTAGGTGATTCACTGGAGTACAAGAGAGACATCCTTCCCATTTATCAACAGGATTCAATGATGATTAACATTACGTCGCGGTGATTTATTAGCACCTGCAACAGAAAAATGTATTTAGATGACTTGGAATAAACAAGTTTTCGTTGACAGGTTAATTATGAGAGCATTCGACCTTAGACATTCTGAATGAAATATGTGAATAAATACTTTCCTTTGAATCACTTACATCTGGACGAAGTTCTGTGAGAAACAACCAAATGACTACCGAGAGTGCCGTAAAATAACAATAAGGCGCTTCATAATTTAAGTAAGTAATTTATTTGACGTGAAATTACAGTTGATGAATTTTACCTAAAAAAATACTAGATTTACTTTTTTCTTAAAGTTATTACTGTTTCACATGCAGAATGTCCTTACTAGTTAAGTATTTTATTAATTATATTATCCTTATACACTAAAATAAAAAATACATATTTAATATTAAAACTGACACTATTTAATATAAAGCTATTAAACAAAGGCGTTGATTGAAAGTAATAAAAAGTCTGTCCAATGGCAAAAAATGGGCGTTGAGGCCGCGCTCCAATGGAATCTGTACCTATACCTACTTTGGTTTGAAACCTTGATAAATCTTTGTATACAAAAAATTACGTTTATGTTTTATGGGTTGTATAATAATAAATGCGTAATTGTTTACTTTTGATTGTAATTTTTTCTAAAAACTAGACCAAAATTATGACATTTTATACGCAAATATAATACTATTTATTTGAAAAAATAAAGATCTAAATTTGGGTTAGATAGTTATTTTTAATCTTTACAAATTTGCAACAACATTAACATTACAATAACTCCATTATTTCTTCAATACTTCGAATAAAAAACACAAGGATTCATTTTATCCTCTATTAATTATTCTCTATTATTTTTTTTGCTTTGAGAAAACCCCTTGACAATTTCCCGTATATCTGTTCAAAGTTGTTTTGGGTGAAGTTTTAAAAACTGACTTCTTCTTGCAAATTCATAATCTTTTGGAGAAGTGTACCTCCAGGCAATACAATAACATACTGTAACTTCAGACCATCTTAGGTTTTTTATGGAATAATTATAAATTTTTTTAAATCAAAATCATGAGTATCACCTACTTTTAAATCGCTTTGTTGATCAAAATCAAATCGAAATGGACTTGAATCTTGAAATTATACTGGGTGTTTCGTTTTTATTTACAAATTTGAACAGGTGATAGAATATTCAATTTTAAGACAAAAGTTTCCTATGAACATGTCTCGAAAAATATTATCTAAGGGAGCTACATCCTTTGAAAGGAGTGCGTTCTTTAATAGGGTTTTCCCACTACTTCAGAAAAGATACTCGTAAAATTACAAAAGTTGGTACAGGTGATAACCTTTAAACACCTGAACGAATTCAAAGATCGAAATTTTCATTTAGGGGTATCCTAAACTGCAGGAGTTTAGAGTAAAGCGAATTTAATTTTAATTTTTTATGCAGTGCAGGATCTGTACCAAATATTAAAATGATGTTATTCAAAAAGGGTAAGTTGCATTAAAAAACGCAAGAGAGCTCTTTTTGTGATAAACTATAGATACAATTTAAAATTTTGTTGCTGAAAATGGTAAGAAATTAACAGTTAGTTAGTTAGTTAGAGTACTTTTTATCCTAAACAAAAAAAATGAAGGCGTTTGTTAAAAGTTCAATAACTTAGAAAATTTAAATGGAACAACCTATTTATTGTTTTTGCATTTAAAAGATTATTACAAAAAGTGCACAGTTGCACAAGAGATGAAAGAAATATCACTTAATAATCACATTTGTGTTATATTTTTACAATAAAATAATTTGAATTTCAGTATTTATAACGACTTTTACAATCTCTGGAACTTCTTAATTTATTATTTTTTACAAATGCAAAACACTAAAAAATTGCTACAACTTTATATTCTGTATTTTCTTCTTTACAGAAGTAAGAATAGATTTGTTCTAACTGTCTTAGTTTTTGTGTAATAAATTTTTAAAAACTGCATGTTTTCGTCAAAAAAAAACGTCTTATTTCTAAAACTAAGCGAAATAATAAAAGTTTAGCGTAAAAACATTGTTTTAAAAGCCTACATCCAAAAATGCCAAGAAACATACGGTGTTTCATTTAAAAAAACACAAGTTGGTATCGTAACGTATTTTTGGGACATTTTAGGTGGTGCACTAAATCAGTATCTATCAATGTCCTATATAATTTTTTTAAATTTTAACATTTAAAAGTCACTAATGGGTTTTTTCAACTTGCTGGGACACCTGTATGTCAACAATTATCACATTTAATTTCCTGCAAATTTTCAAATTTCAACAATCAAAAACATCAATTTGTAACAGTTTATCATTCACTTAATTATCTCATCGAATTACGCTCAAGGTTATTTGTTTTCCTACTGAATAAAATTGAATTGTTTTAAACTCTAATTTGGTTTCTTTTTGGGTAAATTGACTCCACAAATCACTAGACAAAAAACTCGTACTTCGCACTCGTAGGCGGTTCAATTTACCAAGTAACGAAATTTTCGTAAAAAAGTTTTTTTAGCACTTCCAATACTTCTAATGTTTTAATTATTGAACTTAGAGTTAAGAATGGTTGAATTTTTTTATGTTTGAAGTTAAATATTTTTTTGCAAATAATAGTTGTATTAATGTTTATTCATTTTTTTTAAATTACAATATAATATAAATAACAACAACAACCATGACGATACTCAAATACTGTCAATTTTATCTAATCTGCAGCTACACGAGACTGGCTAGCTAATAGCAGACGATTGTTCCACTACATAATCTGGGACTCTGTTTATGTTTCTAGAAAGACGATTTAATAATTCTTTAGATGCATTAACATTATTGTTTTTAAAATATTAACATTAACACAAATATTTCCAGTTTCTGTGTAATGAAAAAGGGCATGGTTTTGTTAAAGCAATTAAAATATCTCAAAAACTAAACAAAATTGATCAATAAAACTTTGGCAAAGAAACATCAGCATTAAAATTTACATCCAGAAATGCAAAAAAGTATAGTGGTTTATTTAAACAACATAGATTTGTCTAGGTTTGTGTTGTAACTCATTTTTGACTTGCAGGGTGTCTAAGCGAGTTGATTTTTTTTTAATTTATTACACAAAAACTAAGACAGCTAGAACAAATTTTTTCTTACTTCTGCAAAAAAGAAAGTACAGAATTTAAAGCTGTAGCAATTTATTAGTGTTTTGCATTTGTAAAGATTAATAAATTAAGAAGTTTGTTAAAAGTTAAATAACTTAAAAATAACTTATTTTTGCATCTAATAGATTGATAAATTGTCTATCTAAATTAATAAACTTTTAATGTCTAGAATTCATAAATGAAATATTTAACATTCAATATTAATTGTAGCAACAATGCCTATCAATATCTGAGCATTGTTGATACTATAGCAATCATAGAAATACCAACACGAATCACTTATCTGCTGATTTATCTAGAGATTATGAAAGTCGTTATAAACACTAAAATTAGAATTATTTTATTATAAAAATAAAGAATAATGGATTCATTTTAACACAAATGTGATTATTAAGTGATATTTCTTCCATCTCTTGTGCAACTGTGCATTTTTGGCTACTGATACAATAGTAATTTTTTTTTAATGTTCAACGTTATATTTAACAATAGTTATTGATTATAAACACCTAAAAGTAAATAATTTTAGAAAGAAAATTTAGTAATCTTTTAAATACAAAAACAATAAATAGGGTGTTTCATTTAAATTTTTTAAGTTATTGAACTTTTAACAAACGCCTTAATTTTTTTGTTTTTGCAAATGCAACACACTAAAAAAAATTTACAACCTTATAGCTTGTAACATCTTCTTTGCGGTAGTAAAAAAAATATTTCTAGATGTCTTAGTTTTTGTGTAATAAAGTTTTAAAAAGTTCATGTTTTCGTCAAAAAAACCGTCTTATTTTTAAAACTAAGCAAAATCGACCAATAAAACTTGAGTTTAAAAACATTTTCCCGGAAATCTACATCCAAAAACGCTAAAAAACATATGGTGTTTCATTTAAAAAAACACAAGTTTGTATTGTAACTTATTTCTGAGTTGAAAATAATTTTAGGCGATGGACTAGATTAGTATCTATCAATGTCCTATATATTTTTTTTACTTTTACCATTTAAAAGTCACTAATGGACTTTTTCAACTTGCTGGGACCCCTATATGTTATACAGGATGCGCCAGAACTCGCGCCCCAGAGAAAAATACGATACCAGGAACATGTAAAAAATGTTAAAAAAATTTTATCTATAAAAATTTCGAAGTTATGAGGGTTTAAAATTTGCACTTTGACTGTATTCTGTCCAATGTTATTTGTGGCTTTTATTGGCAAAATTTTTGTCCATTTACTAAATAATAGTAATAAAACATATACAAGATCATCAGTATGATTAAATAGATATAAAAAAATGTCAAATGTCAAAAAATAAATGTCAAAWTTTTTTYACAAATACATTTTTTTACGTATTTTAYATGTTCCTGGTATCTTACCTTACTTGAAAKTTTTCTCTGGGATGCGAGWTCTGGCTTTTTTTTWKRTMYWTWAAAAAAAATCTTTTTGGTTACTTAATAATTTAGTTTTTTGTTGAGACCTATGTTATAAGTCTTATGTTTTATTTTATTTTTATTTTTTTGCCATGCAACACTTCTTCCAACCAAATCAGAATGGACGATTTTAAAGTTATTGAACCAGAAAATCTGTGAATTTATCTGTTGAATAAAAGTTTTGACATCGATTTTTTACCTGTTGAAAAGTATCTGAATATTAAAGTTGTTATGCAACTTTTTTCAACCAAAAATTTTAAATTTATCGATTTGCAAAGTTAACGAATTTATTTTTAAATCTCTGTCGCTACTTATGTTACAATTAGAGTTGTAGTCAAGAAAAAAAATGACTTTTCTATATAAGAACTTTTTCTATTGCTATTTTTTTAATTAAAAAATCGCAAGGTGGTACCTTTGTTTTCAAAATAAACATAGATATTGCAAAAAAACTATTTTATTT